AAAGATGAGGCTTTCTACTCCCGTAAAGATTTACACCCTCGGAAACCCTGTATAGGGTCGCTATGGGTCGGAACCGACTCGATGGCACTTAACAACAAATTAAAATATAGCTAAAACCTAACCAAAAGGTGATTTGTAGAATGCAAGAGCCACTCACTTATCTACACCATTAATGCTTTGGATCTACCAGCTAAAGGAGGAATAAAAAATAAACATATGTTGTTGTTGTTAAGTGCCGTCAACTCAGTTCTGACCCATAGCAACCCTGTATAGGGTTTCTGAGGAGTAACTGGTGAGATTGAACCACTGACCGTGCAGTTCAAAGCGACTCGGCAGTCCAGCGCATTAACCTGCAGTACCACACCAGGACTCTCAATAAACATATACAGAGATAGGGTATTTATAAAAGGAGCTCTGGTAGCGTAGTGGTTACGAATTGGGCTGCAAACCGTAAGGTCAGCAGTTCGAAACTACCAGCGGTTCCGCGGGAGAAAGATGAGGCTTTCTGCTCCCGTAAAGATTAACAGTCTCGGAAACCCTGTGCAGGGTCGCTATGAGTCGGAACCGACTCCATGGCACATAACAACAACAACAACAACAATATTTCAATAAACATATACAGAAATATAAGTACCCTATGGACTAAGCTCTGGACTGCTAACCATAAGGTTGGTGGTTTATATTCACCAACTACTCCTTTGAAACCTTATATATGGTTGCTATTAGTTGGAACTGACTACAAGGCACTTAATGGTAGGAGTAGGTGGGATCCCCATTCCTGACTATTATAATACATACTGTTAAGTGCTATGGAGTGGGTTCAGATGTACCATGGCTGTATGGCACTGCACAATAATGCACTGGACAGCAAGGTCAGTTTGAACTACAAGATTAGCAGTTCAAACTCAGCAGTTACTCCTTGGAAACCCTGTACAGTGTCACTATGAGTTGGGATTGAGTTGATGGCACTTAACAATAATATTAGAGTCTTCACCACCTGAATTTGAAAGAAACTCTGATTATTTATTTAAAAACAGTGCCTAGGGCCAGGAGGAAGGGTTAATGCTCTTTAGAATGTCCTCTGGCTGGAAAAGGGCTTCCATAAACCCTGATTAGGTTACTTGGTTGCCTAGAAGCAGATGCACATGAAGTACTGTCCTGGATAGTTGAGGAGATCATTTGGCTCACAACCGGGGCACATTCTGTTGTTAAGCATAAAACTCCACTTGGAAGTGAGAATGTTCATAAGCAATGCTAATATAAGAACCTCCTGGTAATCCTAGCACCTCTGCCCCTGTTCCAATCAAGAACAGGATGCACCTGCAAGTCCTTGACATTCTTCTACTATAATTACACACCTGGGACTCAGGGCTGTCAATGATGCACAGCTGGAAGTATAAAATAAGCCAAAGGACAAACAGCTCCATTCCTATGAGTGGAGTATATTTTTGTGTTCTTGGTGGATATTGTTGCTGCCCCAAACTGGATTATTGTTTTCTCTGATTTTGATACCTGTCCTATTTCACAAACCTCCCTAAATTAAGCTATTATTATACATTCAACAATGATTTGTTGAACTTCTACTATAAGCTATCCTTTGGAAGTGGCTACATGACTAGACCAGACAGATTCCTGCCCCATTGCTTGTCCTAACTATAGCTACTGGCCCTCTAACTATACCTAAACTAAAAAATGCATGGTCCTCCCCTCACTTGTTACTACTTATACCCTGATGCTGTTTTGTTGTTGCTAAATGCTGTCAAGTCAAGTCTGACTCACAGCGACTCTGTATAAGGTTTCCAATAATGGCTGGTGGGATTGAACCATCGACTTTGTGGTTAAGAATCTGCTTATCCTGCAGCACAACACCAGGACTCCTATACCCTGATATACTCTGATATTACAGTTCAATCCTGCAAAAAGACTTTCCTCTGGGAAAGTTATAACAAAGAACATGGATTGGTTTTAATTTTGGTTTTGTTATTTTGCTAACACCCAATACGTCTGGGTAAGATATTGTGCCTAGAATTCTAGAAGCACATCATTGCTTAGAAAATGTTTGTTTCTGAATTCAGTCATGTCCCTTTAAGACGAACTACAGTTGAAAAGCTCATGGTGGCTGGCCAGAGTAGGAAGACAGCTCTCAAAGCCACCATGTCAGATGTCCCAGAAGCTCTAGGATGCCAGCTAGTGAGCCAGCAGTGACGCAGATACCACAGTTTTAAAAAATGCACTTCAACTTAATGTAGACAGCCAAGCAAACCTCATGAATAGCCACAGCTGTTGCTCTAAAAGAGGAGCAAAATGGATAGAGCAAAAGCAACAACATGATGCAAATAAGGTTAACAGCAAGGCCTGCAAATTGTTTTAAAAAACAAATGGCAATTCAGCGACACCAGTTTGCTAGGCAAGGTTAATGAGTCTTCTTCTGTGTTAAATCATGCTGACTAACCTTATCTTAAGAAGCTAAAAACACAGCACAAATTAGACAGAGCACTATAAGGAAGACAGGCTGGCACAGTGGTTACCATAGGTATTCTATTCCTAATGAAGAAAGGAGTCATGAGGACAAGAAGAGAGCCAAACTATCTGTGGAAGAATTTTTCTGTTGTCACACCTGTTCTTCCTGATTAAAAATCTAATTTTAATCCTGTTCACCATCAGGAAGCCATTCCTGTTTTCAACCCAGTTCTTCTGGAGCTATGCTAAGCATAGTACGAAGCCCATAGATTTATTGTATTCCTAGCTCTGTAGGATAAGCACTAGATTGCAAAGTTAGTTTCAACAACAATGTCGACTGTTAAAACCTATGAGTACTTCCTGGTAAAACCTATACAGGGTCGCTATGAGTTGGAACCCACTTGGCGGCATTTAACAACAACAACAAAGTGCCTATTGTAAAGAGCCTTGGTATTGTAGTGGGTTCCACATTGGTCTACTAATCACAAAATCAGCAGTACCATCCACCAGCCCAATCCACAGGAGAAAGATAAAGCTTTCTGTTCCCATGAGTGGGAACAGACTAAAAAACATGCAGTAGTTGCAGCAGCAGCAACAGAACCTATGATAGTATTTGGGATTCATACCCACTCAATAACTGTGTGAGTGTGTGTGCATAGTGTTGAGTCAGATAAAGAACCTAATTTCATCTTGCATAGTGCCTGCCAACTAGGAGATATTTAATACATATTTATTGGCTGAATAGCTGAAAGGTTTAATAAGTGAAGCAATCATTGTTTAGGAGGTTAGAAGGGAATAAATAAATATTGGCTAAGAAGTCAAAGTTTGTTGGTTAGATGTTATTTTATAAACAATAAAGCACTTTCAGGAAATGTCACTA